AAATTTTGACTATCTTCAGGAATATAAATATTTTGGATGAAAAGGAACTATGCTTGGCTGATTCTTTTACAGTTCAATTTGTGATGACTGTGCTAGTTCAAGCTTTATTTGCATATTTTCCGCTATTCCTGGAAGTGTAACTGTTTAGCTAATTTGTCATTTAAGGTATAGCCTTTTAAGGATTTTCTCTGTCAAGTTTGTGAGAGTCTCATGGGACATGTTCCAATTGTCAGATTATTGGGAGCATTTCTGCAGTGTCATCATCACTTCTTGTTGGCAAGGCTGGACCCTTGGTGCACACTGGTGCTTGTATCGCGTCACTATTGGGTCAAGGTGGGTCAAAGAAACATGGTTTAACTTGGAAGTGGCTTCGGTATTTTAAGAACGATCGAGATCGGCGAGACCTTGTAACATGTGGATCAGCTGCTGGAATTGCTGCTGCATTTCGTGCCCCGGTTGGTGGTTTGCTGTTCGCCCTTGAAGAGATGGCGTCTTGGTATGATGAATTGTCCCGATACGCTGCTTTCTTCTGATGCCTCCATTTGTCTATTTAGCAAGTAGAATCCTTGCGATTCAAAATCTCATTGTTCTCACAAGTCCTGGATATCGGACTTGTTAGCAGGTCGTATTTAACTTAGTTCTGAAAAGCTGTAAAAAATTGCTGGTCAAGTACAGAAATCTGGTGTTCTGATATTAACTGTTTATTTGAATTCCTATTTTAACTTATTCTGATTGCCAGGAAGAGATGCTTCTGGGCTTCCTTTCTGTTCTATCCGCCAGTCTGTTTCTCCCCGTTTTTGGTTCTTGGCTGTGTTTGCTTAAGTTGTTTGCACTCTCTCCTTGCTCTTATTATCTGGTTTCGAGATATATCGCTGCAACTTATTGACTATCTGAGATCTTGTAGTATTTTATATTCCATGGCAGTATGTGATGTCATTGCACGGAATAATCTTTATTTTCTTTTACAGGTGGAGAAGTGCCCTGGTGTGGAGAGCTTTCTTTACTACAGCTGTAGTGGCAATCGTGCTAAGGGCTCTCATTGACGTCTGTTTGAGTGGAAAATGTGGGCTTTTTGGGAAAGGAGGGTTGATAATGTATGGCGTTACCTCGTCAAATGTTGCCTATCACATTGTAGATGTACCTCCTGTACTTCTCCTTGGTATAATAGGTGGATTGTTGGGCAGCTTGTATAACTTCTTGCTGGAGAAGGTTCTTCGTGTCTACAACCTCATCAACGAGTAAGCTCCCTTTCCTTTCCTCACCAGTAATCACAAATATGTGATTATGCAGTAACGATCAACTGATCGCAACAATGACTTCTTTCTTTCAGGAAGGGCATTCCCTGCAAAATTGTTCTTGCTTGCTGGATTTCAATTTTCACGTCGTGTCTCTTGTTTGGACTACCGTGGCTGGCATCTTGTCGAGTTTGTCCGATCGATGCTGGAGAAGCCTGTCCCACAATAGGCCGATCTGGCAACTACAAGAAGTTTCAATGTCCTCCCGGACATTACAACGATCTTGCCAGCCTGATATTTAACACGAATGATGATGCAATAAAAAATCTCTTTAGCAAGGGCACAGATGACGAGTTCCAGTACTCTTCTATAATTATATTCTTTGTCACATGTTTTTTCTTGAGTATACTTAGCTATGGCATTGTTGCTCCCGCTGGCCTTTTTGTTCCTGTAATAGTTACTGGTGCATCTTATGGGCGTTTTGTTGGAATGTTGATCGGTTCTCATTCCAATCTTAACCATGGTCTTTTTGCTGTGCTGGGTGCTGCTTCTTTTCTTGGTGGATCTATGAGGATGACAGTTTCTCTTTGTGTAATCCTTTTGGAACTGACGAACAATCTGCTGTTGCTACCCTTGATGATGGTGGTTCTTCTTATTTCAAAGACAGTAGCTGATGCTTTCGACAGCAACATCTATGACCTTATCATGAAAGCAAAGGGCTTTCCGTACCTTGAGACCCATGCCGAGCCATTTATGAGACAACTAACTGTTGGTGATGTAGTGAGCGGGCCCCTTCAGCTGTTTCATGGCATCGAGAAGGTCGCTAACGTGGTGCATGTGTTGCGAACTACAAGGCACAACGGGTTTCCCGTCATTGATAAACCTCCACATTCAGAGTCCCCCTTTCTGTATGGTTTAATTCTCCGTGCTCATCTGACAGAGCTTTTAAAGAAGAAAGCTTTTTTGTCTGATCCAGTTCCGACAGATATTGATGCCTTTAAGCAGATTTCAGCGGAGGACTTCATGAAGAGGGGATCGGGTCATAATAACATGATAGAAGATATAGAATTGACTGAAGAAGAAATGGAGATGTTCTTGGATTTACGTCCATTTACTAATGCTTCACCTTACACGGTTGTGGAGACGATGTCACTTGCAAAGGCTCTTATACTTTTCCGTGAAGTTGGCTTGAGACATCTGCTGGTGATACCTAAAATCTCTGGCGTAAGCTCCCATTTTCACTTCTTTAATTCTATCAAAAGCTATTCTATTTCTATTTTTGTCTTTTGCATCGAGATACTCTACTGCCAATGTAAATAGAGTTCTACACCGTCATTCAGTGATCTTGCTCATATCTCTAGTCCTGTATCTACTTGCAAAATAGACTTTTTCTTTTTGGTTGATGCAGTTGACGATATATAAAAAACACCGATGCTTCCTTCTTTTCAGCAAATTGGGCCATTTTTCAGAATTACATCAATACCATCCTCCTTTGGACTCACGTACTTGGTTTTCACCCTCACCTCTTCCATTCTTATTTCACTTGATTCTCTTTCTTATGTCCAAGTTTAATCCTGTGAAAAGACTTTGGTGAAGACTGCCAAATATTTATGTGGCTTCACTAGCTCAGCTTTGCACTAGGATGTTCTCCTCTCCGTTTAGCTGAATTTCTGTATATACAGCTACTTGACATTTTGTGGCTTCCTAGTTTCACTTAAAAATCAGAGCAGATCAGGGTGAGGGATCACAATTGATTTTTCTTCTCATCTCTTGCCAGTATTTGGTGTGATACTTTGATGTGACTGGGTGCATATATATTTCTGCTTTAGTTGAACATATTCTTTTATGTTTTTATTTTAATCTCGACACTCTTTTATTGCAGAGATCGCCTGTGGTGGGCATATTAACAAGACATGATTTTATGCCCGAGCATGTGTTGGCAGTGCACCCAACCCTCATTAGGAGCAGATGGAAGAGATTAAGACTACAGTTTCCCCGCCTATTAAAACTATCTTAGCATAGCCCGTTGAGCATTCAGGAATTTATCCAGGAAAATTGCTGCTCAATCAGGCCAGATTTTGTGGGATTCATGCAGCATAGAGCTTATTGGAAGCTACTTCATTATAAGGTCAGGCCCTGATTGAACCCTACAAACCCTGGAACATTAGCCCTTCGCCTTACTAATCGAGCATTGTGAAAGCGGCGGGTTGTAATTTATTTGCGGGACAGAACGTAAAAATAGGAAGTTTTGGCTTGCATTATCTTGACGGTGCGGGATTACTTCTGCTGTGACTGAGATGCTAACGATGCAGGGGACTAATGACAATAAGATCAAAGATGTGCAGAAAACTGTGGATAATTTCCCTCTTATGCAGTAATTTATAAACAGGAACACTCCCTCCTGTGTACTGATTACTTACACTAAATGTACACCAAATTACTTTTAGATGTGGTAAATTTTGCATGATGTCATTAAGTCCATGAGCACGATATCTGCATGTCGCTACGACATCCATTTAACAAGACACATTGGCTTCGAAACCCGGAACTCCTGTGTGCAAACTCTTGTAGAGTGTCTGCAGAATTATGTTCATTCATCACTGCTGTAACCATTCCTAGTTAGCACAAGACCCGTCGCATTTTAAGCATTGAATCACGGCAATGCCACGGGCACGAACCACATCCATCGAGTGCATGCTGGTCGGGAGACTGCAAAGCAAATTTCCAAGTGCGTATGAGCATATCCGCGATCATGATTGAAACATTCAATTTGATTGAAATATTCAATTTTCATATCTGCGATCATAATTAAAAAATTCAATTTGATTGAAACATTCAATTTTCACGAAGCGACTTGTAAGCGGTTTGAATTCATAAGGTTGAATCAAATGCGGGCCCTGCCTTCTTATCCATCACTTTCATTTCATCTCATAAAATCTCGTACTAAACGTGTACGGCCTTTGGTCAAAGTCTTCCAAATTTGTGCGTTCCTTGGAAAATATCAGGGTCCTGGCATGCTTATGGAGCTGACTCGCCTTTTTCTAAATTTGACAAGTTCTCTTTCACCATTAATTTCTATATAAAAAAAGGAAAAATAAAGAAAATGAAGAAAAATAAATTCACAAAGATATTATTATCAGAAAAATTAATATCAATGATACTATTATAAGATAATTCTTTTTTAAACTTTGCTGACTATATTAATAGAACTAATAAGATACTTTAAGAAAAAAGAAACAAAAGTAAAAAGGAAAAAAGCCTCAATAACAAAAAGATCAAATCACAAAAATTGGATACTCATTATATACTTAATAAAATATATGGTTAATATCACGAAAAATCCAAGTGATACATCCGTAATAAATTTATCAAAAACTAATTTTTTTTTATCCTCAAAAACCTCAAACTGGTGCACCTATGACAAATTTACCTTACGTTAGTTTCTAGTAAATTTACCGTCAAATTACTGAGTTGAATGACACGTGACAGTTGATGGGTGTACTAGTTCGGGGTTTTTCATGGTATTAATCCAATTTAATGGAAATTAACGGAGGGTAAATTTGTCACAAATGTACCGGTTTGTGGTTTTTGGTGAAAAAAAATTAGTTTAGGATAAATTTATCAGGGGTGTACCAGTTTGAGGTTTTTCGTGGTATTAACCCTAAGATATATTTACAAATATCACCTCATATTTTGATCAATCATTTGCTTTTACTATAGATGGAGCTTTTATAAAACTTCAGAACATTTGGCAAAATTATTATTCTAGATAGATATATGTGTTGACATGGGAAAAGTCTGTCCTCCTATTTGGTTCAAACTAAGCTGCGGCGAAAAAAAGGAGCGATCGCATCTACACGGAGAAGGAATAGTCACCTCTCTCACGTGCCCTGAACGACCGGAGCACGCAATGAAGAACGCTGGTTTCATCTTTAAGGCTGAAGAAGCTCAACTCAAGGAGCACGCAAGTTTCATCTAACATGGCTTCAGTGATACTCGGAATCCTTCTAATACTTGTTCCACTTCCACTTTTCGCCGAAGCTCAGACCTCCGGCAACTTGACCTTGGGCATCTCGTTAACAGCAAATGACAGGAACTCTTCCTGGCTTTTGCAGTCGGGTGAGTTCGCCTTTGGGTTCCGGAGAATGGGAAGAGGAGCTCATTTGTTGGCCATATGGTTCGAGAAAATAGAGGACAGAACCATAGTCTGGTCGGCGAATGACGGTAATCTAGCACCCGAAGGTTCGACAGTCCAGTTGACCGCCGACAACGGACTGGTGCTTGCCGATGCAAAAGGAAGAGAGCTGTGGTCTTCTAGCCTGACCGGCACCGGCGTAGCATATGCGGCCATGCTCAACACGGGGAACTTCATCCTAGCGAGCACGAACCACGTCAACTTGTGGGATACGTTCAGCCAACCGACCGATACCATACTGCCAACGCAACAGTTAGGTCAAGGGAGTATAGTTAACGCTCGCTATTCCGAAATGAATTACTCCGCCGGGAGATTCCACTTGACACTGCAAACCGACGGAAATCTCGTGCTCTATGCCACTCCTACCCCGTTGAACCCCTCAGATGCTTACTGGGCCACCGGCACCACCACCACCCCAGGTATTGGCTTCCGGTTGATATTCAATCAAAGTGGTCAGGTCTACCTCACGAATAAGACTGGAACAATACTCAGTATTGTCACCCCAGACACAGTTCCAACCAGCGAATTTTACCAAAGAGCGATCCTTGAATACGATGGGGTCTTCAGGCAATATGTCCACCCTAAGATGGCAAATTCGAGTTCTCGCTGGGCAATGGGCTGGTCGATGGTCTCTTCCCCGGTCCCTCCAAATATATGCACGAGCATCAGGCAAGATATCGGTAGTGGAGCTTGTGGCTTCAACAGCTACTGTACTCTTGGAGACGATCAGAGGCCCCGATGCCAGTGCCCACCTGGATATACTCTGTTGGATTCTACGAACGAGATGAACGGATGCAGACAGGATTTCGTATCACAGAGTTGTGACGGAAGTAGGCCTGAAAATGACCAGTTCGCTTTGCGTGAAATGCTCAATACAAACTGGCCACTGTCTGATTACGAGCATAGTGCGGCACAAACGGAGGACTGGTGCAGAGAGGCTTGCTTGGCTGATTGTTTTTGCGCAGTCGCCATTTTCAGCAACGGAGTTTGCTGGAAAAAGAAGATCCCTCTTTCAAATGGATGGATGGATCCTGGGGAGGTTGGAAAAGCTTTGGTCAAGGTCAGGATACATAACACGACTTCAAAATGTACAGCAAATGGCCAGAAGAAAAACAAGAATACGACTTTGATGATCATCGGATCAGTGCTGTTGAGTAGCTCTGTCTTTGTGAACTTGCTTTTACTCCTCATTACCTATTTAATTTATAGAAGCTTCCGATCTAGGGACTCTAAGTTGTCACGACCAGTCCAGATCAACCAAGCCACAGGCACACAGACTTTCACTTATCAGGAGCTTCAACAAGCAACAGTTGGATTCAAAGAAGAACTGGGTAGGGGTGCTTTTGGAACAGTGTACAAAGGTGTTCTCGGATCCAAGGAAACAAACTTTGTGGCGGTAAAAGTGTTGGAGACAAGGACCGGAGAAAGCGAAAAGGAGTTCGAAAGAGAAGTCAGTGCAATTGCCCAAACAAACCACAAGAACTTAGTGCAGTTGCTTGGATTCTGCAATGAAGGTCAACACCGACTACTGGTGTATGAATTCATGAGCAACGGCAGTTTGGCAGATTTTCTATTTGGCGCTTCAAGGCCCAGTTGGTACAAAAGAGTGGAAATTGCCTGTGGTGTTGCGCAGGGGCTCTCTTACTTGCATGATGATTGCACCAGGCATATAATCCATTGTGACATCAAGCCGCAAAATATTCTTCTTGATGGTTCTCTCTCTGCAAAAATATCAGACTTCGGATTAGCTAAGCTCTTGATGGTGAACCAAACACGAACCACCACTGGAATCAGAGGAACGAGAGGTTATTTAGCGCTAGAATGGTTTAGGAATATGCCTATTTCTAGCAAAGTAGACGTTTACAGCTTTGGCATTTTGTTGGTAGAGCTCATCTGCTGCAGAAAGAACTATGAGCCGGAAGCGGAAATTGAAGCTCAAATTGTGCTGGTTGACTGGGTGTATGACTGCTACCATGAGGGGACCGTGCATGAGATAGTGGAGAGCGACGAGGAGGCATCAAGTGACATAAAGAGGGTGAGAAGATTTGTGATGACAGCACTGTGGTGCATCCAGGAAGACCCGGCTTTGAGGCCAACCATGAAAAAAATCACTCAGATGTTGGAAGGGGCTGTTGAAGTCTCAGTCCCTCCAGGCTCTTTTATCAGTTCAATATGATTTTGCTTATTGAGACAACTAGTGTCTGTGTAATCATGGAAAGTATTTGTATTGTCTGTAACTGCTATTAAGCCAGAATAAACTTTTTCATAATGTCTTCACATGGATCCTGCTTAAATAAGCTAAATCTTACTCAAGCTTTAACATTCCCTCGCATGTATCCAAGAGAGAACGGGTTGACGATTGTTGGCAAACGGGATTACATGCAAGGCCACATGCAACTTTGAAGAGAGATTTAAATTGTTGAGAGATCAAGTAGCTATATAAAATGATGCAGAATCAGTCATTAAAAAATTTAAAGTCACAGGCATTATTGTGTTGAATCTCTTAGGAATTCTACGTGGATCATTTCCTTGTATGTCACGGGAAAAACTGATGTGGCTCCATCAAAGCATTGTCATCGACAATTTTGCTTCATAAAAATTGCATTCGACAAAGTAGAACCGTGTTTTGACCCGACCCAAGCAAAACAGATCTTATCTGCCAAATTAAACAGTGAGAACCATATGAAACATGCTGATCCTCAAGGCGTGGATCGGTGCTCGGGAATCCCAATTTCAACAGTTTTGCTGCTTTTTTTTTCAAACAGCAGGGACTCTCACTTCCGTCTTTGGCAACCAACTTCTAGACCAAAGGAATCACAGTCCACAAATCACGTAGTTGGGAGCATAATCAAACGAACTTTCTTCTTGATTCATCCATAGAGAAATTGCGAGAAGCGGCACAAGGCAGACAATTTTCTAAGCATACATATACCTTTCCAAAATGATCATTGGAGATCTTGTATAAACAACACAGTGAGCTACAGTCAAAGCCATTCCATAACGGGTCCAAACAGGACGGAACTGGAAAATATACCAAGACAAGACATTGGAAAGATCCCGAAGATCAAAATCCAACAATCAATTTGCACCAGAAGCTTAGTGGGTTCGATTTCACATGTCTTAGTCAGCTATGGCGTCTGTGAGCTCGTTCGCTATCATTTTCTTGTCATTCTTGATCGATGGAACGTGGTCTTCTGTATTTTGGTTGTTTCACTTTGGAAAAGTCTGCTTGCACCAATTTCACAGAAGTAGATGAATGTCCCCATGAATGCACTTGGCGAAGCAGAAACTTATTAGACGATCACGAGCTCGTTCCCTTGCATGCATGCTTCCTCCATGGGCCGGCCAATGCATCCTCAATTTAAGAGCGTGTGGCTCAATTCCATCTTCATATGCAAGTTGGCTCTATTCCCTATTTCAAAATTGGCCCAATTCCATCTTCATGTGGCCGGCCCCCATTTTATTAAGTGAAAGCGTAAATTATCACCTTAGGATTTTGATGATGCACATTAGAACTACAAGTAATCCCAAGGTGAACATTTGTAAACCACTGTGTTAACAATGTATGAGTGGAAATGGAAAAACGAGGTGAGGAAAATGATATCCAAGGCTTCAATGTTCTCGTCAAGTCAAATCTCCCATGATGTAGCGAAGATGACAAAGCCCCTAATTGCGATGAAATGTAGTGAGAAGCATGAACATTAGACAATGCAAGTTTACATATTTTTGCTAAGGATTAACAAGTTAAATCCCTAAGTTTATGGAATGTTATGAAAAGTCTAATAAGTGAAAATTTAGGTGTCAACAGTGAGTCCCCAAGCAAAAACCGTGTCTATCCAACCCAATCTGTGATTAAACCAAGCTCTATTCAAGTCGGTCCTTCTCTAACCTTCATGGCCTTGACACCCTATAGTTATTCGGTTGTGGTCCATTTATCACATACGGAGCACTGAATCGAAGTTTAAAGTCAACAGAAGTAACGTGAGCGACTTTTGAACCCTACAAACCCTGGAAAATTAGCCCTTTGCCTTACTAATTGAGATTCATTTGGGGGCCAAATGTATAAACAGGAGGTTTTGGCTTGCATTATCATGGCGGTGCAGGAATACTTCTATTATGACCGAGATGCTAGAGATGCAGAGAACTATTAAGTTAATAGTATTAACAATGCAGAATACTGTTGATAGTTTTCTCTTATTGAGTGATTTATAAACAGGAACACTCCCTCTATGTGTACTGATCACATTAATTATATGTAAACCAAATTACTTTTAGGGTGCGTTTATTTTGCGGAAAACGTAATGTTTTTGGAAAATGTTTTCGGGGAATTCATTTTCCAGGAAAATGGTTACTTTTCCTTTGTTTGGTGATTTTGATCGAAAAAGTTTTATGGCGTTTGGATCTCACTTGGAAAATGATTTCAATCTCATGACTTTATCTTAGACAAAAAAATCGAATTTTTAAATAGTTTTTAAAATTTTCTTTTCTTTTCTTTTTCTTTTTCCTTCTTCCTCCCTCGTCGGCCCACACTTGTGGCAGGTCATTAGCCGTCGCCGAGGCCGGCGACCAGTGGAGTAAGGAAGAAGGAAGAAGGAAAAAGAAAAAGAAAGAAAAGAAAAAGAAAATAAGAAAGAAAAGAATAAAGAAAAGAAAATATTAACAAATTCAAGATAAGCAATTCCGAAAAGTGTTTTCACATTTTTATATTAGGGAATTCACTTTCCTAAATTTATACATGAATGCTTTTCTTGATCGAAAAGTATTTTCGATTGACTAATCATTTTCAGGAAACCCAACGGACGAAAGTCCGGAAAACAGATTTCTGGAAAACAAATACATCTTAGATGTGATAAGTATTGCATGATGTCGTTAAGTCCATGAGCATGATATCTTTATGTCTCTACGAAATCCATTTAACCAAACATATCGGATTCAAAACCCGAAACTCCTGTATCAATTTTTTTGTAGATTATCTACCGAACTATGTATATTCATCATTGTTGTAGCCATTCCTCTCCAAGTTACACACGACCCGTCATATTCCAAGCATTGAGTCAACCACCACGCCACGGACCACATCCATCGGGCACAAGCTGGACACGGGACTACAAAGCAAGTTTCCACGTCCCTCTGAGCATATCTGCCATTATGATTGAGAAATTCAATTTCCATAAAGCAACTCATACTCGGTTTGAATTCGCAGGGATGGAATCAACTGCGGGCCGTGCCTTCTTCTCCATCACGTTCATATCATAAAATTTCCAACTTAACGTGTACGACGTTTGGTCGAAGTCTTCCAAATTTGCGTGATCCTTGGAAAATATTTTGGTCCCGGAAAGCTCATGGAGCATGCTTGCCTTATTCTAAATTTGACAAGTTTTCTTTCACCGTTGGTTTCTCTAAAGAAAAAGGGAAAAATAAAGAAAATGAGCAAAACTAAATTTACAAAGATATTATCACCAGAAAAATTTAATATCAATGATACTATTATAAGATAATTTTTTGTAAACTTTGCTGAATATAATAATAGAACTGATGAGATACTTTAAGGGAAAAAGAAACAAAAACAAGAAACACAAATATAAGATTAGTCTAGATACACGTGTTGACAGGGGCAAAGTCTGTCCACAGATTTGGTTCGAACTAGCTGTGGGAGAGATTCGGGTAGCACAGAAAGTGGAAAATCTATAAAGAATGCTGGTTTCATTCATAAGGCTTAAGTAGCTCAACTCAAGGAGCACGCAAGTTTCATCTAACATGGCTTCAGTGATGTTAGGAATCCTTCTAATACTTGTTCCACTTCCACTTACCGCCAAAGCTCAGACCTCCGGCAACTTGACCTTGCATGGCTTGTCGTTAACAGCGAATGACAGGAACTCTTCTTGGCTTTCGCCGTCGGGTGAGTTCGCCTTTGGGTTCCGGGAAATGGGAAGAGGGGCTCATTTGTTGGCTATATGGTTCGAGAAAATAGAGGACAAAACCATAGTTTGGTCGGCAAATGGCGGTAATCTAGCACCCGAAGGTTCGACCGTCCGGTTGACCGCCGACAACGGACTGGTGCTTGCCGACCCAAAAGGAAGAGAGCTGTGGTCTTCTAGCCTGACCGGCACCGGTGTAGCATATGCGGCCATGCTCAACACGGAGAACTTCATCCTAGCGAGCATGAACCACGTCACCTTGTGGGATACGTTCAGCCAACCGACTGATACTATACTGCCTACGCAACAGTTAGGTCAAGGGAGTAAAGTTAACGCTCGCTATTCCGAAATGAATTACTCCGCCGGGAGATTCCTCTTTACACTGCAAACCGACGGAAATCTCGTGCTCTATGCCACTCCTACCCCGTTGAAACTCTCAGAGGCTTACTGGGTCAGCGCCACCGCCAGCACCCCACGTATCGGCTTCCAGTTGATATTCAATCAAAGTGGTCAGGTCTACCTCACGAATAGTACTGGAACAGTATGTTGAAAATTAAACTTGATTCGTGAATCTAGGTGCATTATTCTAAGATTGGTATTATCCATGTACTTCTTCCTAGGTGCATTGATGTAGTTCATGTATGTGTCATGCATTTAATTAGTCCATTAGATTTTCAAGATTCATGTACTACAAAGTTCTAGGAGTTTTATGAGGTCTTATTAAATGCATACAGTGTACGAAGGGTCTCTATGTACCTATAAAAGGGCTTGCGATTGAATCATTTTAATATAGCCAAGCCACAAAATATCAAAGAGTATTCTGAGTATTCTCTTGTGTTCCTTTCTCTAAACTTCCCGTTTTCAACAAATTGGTATCAGAGCTACGGTTGAAGATGAATAGCTCTTTTCCTTATGCCATTCCCAAGCTTTCGAAACAAAATTATGGGCAATGGTGCATTCGCATGAAGGCATTGCTTGGCTCACAAGACGTGTGGGAAGTTGTTCAAAAAGGCTATGATGAACCGGAGGATGAAGCGGCTTTGAATCAAAATCAAAAGAACGCGTTGAACAAGCTTCGTAAAGGTGATCAACATGCCCTCTCTATTATTCACATGGGCTTGGATGAAGCCATGTTCGAGAAAGTTGCTTCCGCATCAAAGGCCAAAGAAGCCTGGGATATTTTAGAAAATAATTTCAAAGGAATTGACAAGGTGAAGAGGGTACGTCTTCAATCTCTACGTGGTGAGTTCGAATCTCTACATATGACGGGGTCCGAATCCGTTTCTGATTTCTTCACTAGAGTATCCTCCGTAACCAATCAAATGAGGCAATATGGCGAAAATA